TCATCTTAAAATTTTTTTGAAAGATCTGATTAAAAACCTACATTAATTCTAATTAATGTTTTCAAAAAATAGATTATTAGATTGAAAATTCTACTTATGTATATTATACATGTTAATTTTCATATTAATCTAATACTTACAACTCTTGATCAGGAGAAATTATATTTGTTAACATATATTTAATGATGTTAAATTTTTCATAATCAATAAAATAGTTAGACCTACTAAAATAATTTAAAAATTGACATATATGAGTTTTTTATGAATAAAACTTTTTATTTAATAGTTAACTTAAAAAAAAAAACTCAATTTACCGACATATATTTAATGATATTAAATTTTTTGTAATTAATAAAATAATTAGACCTACCAAAATAATTTAAAAATTAACTTATATAATTTTTATACGAATAGAACTTTTTATTTAATAGTTATTTTTTAAAAATGTTAATTAAAAAATAAATTTTTAGATAAGTTCTCCGAGAACAATTTAAGGGGAAGGCCTGCAAAAACACTTTTTTTCCTATACATTTTCCCACAATTCTCATCAGCTTCTGGTGCCGACAACCACCACTCACATGCAAACCCTGCACACTATTCTTAAGTGGGAAAATATTATTAGACTTGCATACATATTTTTAGCCTTTTGAGACTTACAAAATGCATAAAGTGAGTTCAAAATGTACTTGTAGTTCCGTCCATCATTGGAATGAAATTATGGAACTGTTTACTTTTTCTTCTTTTGGGGATGTTTTCTTTTCCTGTTGCAAAGTCCTTTCACTTACATTTTTCTGTTTTGCTAATGCTCTGGCTAATATTTTCTTTAATGACACTGTTTTACATTATTACTCACTCGGGTTCATAAACAACATATGTTACATTGTGGAAGCCCTGAACAATTAGCCCCATCTTTCTCCACTTTGTTTAGGTGTTAGACTTCTTATGGCACCGTAATTTATTCAATGAAGTGAACAGATCACCAAAGTGTGACATAAAAATTTAATTAGAATTAGAAGATCAATAGAAAAAGTGTTAAGTATCTCACAGTTTTGTACTTTTACAATTAGTATATGCTTTAATTTTGAGGTAATATAATGGTTAATCAACATAAACAAACAGATTCACTTCAATCAATAATTTTTTTAAAAAAACTTAATTAACAAAAAATAGTAAGTTAGGCGCCCACCAAAAAAATAAAAAACATAAAAACGAATGCTTTGATGATTTTCGATCATACCCCTTTCTCACTTTTAAACGTTTCCTAATGTTTTCCTTCAAATCATAAGCCTTGTACAATAAACAAAACAAACTCCAGCTTAAATGATTTGAAATCTCTTTATTTGATGCTCTTACCTATTCAAACTCGAGTAGGTTGGGATAAGCCCAATTAGGAGAGAGGGTGACGATGACTTGGCCTTCTATCTTTATAACTCAGTCAAAGTGACACGACGTCGTATTCTTGACTCGTCCCCTTCCCACCCGCCCCCCGTGAATCTGGTGTTGCAGTTCATAATTTTGAAGTATTAGCCTTTACAACACAATTCCAAATTATTTTATTTTATTTCTTTCATCCGATTAATTTCTCATTTTGCTTTTGAAAATTGAATTTATTGGAAATTAATTTTAATTGAAAGGAAAATTTTCAAATAAATACCTGTTCAAAAACACACAACCAGTAGTGGCCTCCATATATCCGGGCGGATTTTCCCCTGCAATTGAAGTATTTGGTAAGACTTCAAAACTTCAACAACTGTGTGTAAACAATAGAGTTTAAGGATTTACCAGACATCTGCGACTAGGTCTAGCTCCTTTTCAGATAAGAGGCGGAAACCGATCCTTTTCACAATCGGCAAATGGGATCCGTTAGTTTCTACTTTAATACTGAATCTCTTGCATTCATTCACCAAACTTGGTGTTCTCCAGCAGCTGACCCATATGACTTCACCTTTATGAACGTACTCAAAGGGCCGGGGAAGGTAGCAGCGACGAGAAAAATCCTCATCCTCTATTGTTATAACAAATTTAAAAGAATAAATCTGTCCAAAATGAAAAAAAACACATACTGCAAGTCCTTGGAAACTTCCACTTGAAACTTGAGGCACATCTACAATTGTACATGCAACATTCTCCTGAAGATTAAACCCATAGAGCATTGTTTCTTTGGGAAGAAAGATGTTATAAATCGGCTCCATAGAATCAGAAAAACCCTGCAACGCTGACAATTCATTTTTTAAAAAAAAAAGGCCTCGCCACAAAAAATGAGAATTGTGTCTTTAACTTTGGAAAACTTGAAAAGGGCAAAGAGAGCAAGAGAGTAACCTGAATGGGACAATCTTTACTCTGAGTAAGTATGAAGTCTTTGAAAAGATGCAACCGCTTCTTTAGCAAACCCTTCAGTCCAAACAAGTGCTCTAACTTAGCAAGTTGCTCACTAGTTAAAGGTTCCATATAGGAGCAGTAATGAATCGTACTTAATACATCAAGCCCATAAAAGATCGATGTGATAATTTTCTCACTGAACCTTTCTTTGAGTGTTACTTTCTCCAAAGATTTGCAATGGTATGTGATCAATATCGAGTGTAAATCAGATTCTACTGCTTTGAGCTTCTTGCACAGCACTAGGAAAACCTTGGTTTCAAGAGGAAGGGAAGTAAGATCTAGGCTGCAGAAGTTGTTTCTGCTTAAATTCAATTCCTGCAAAAAGGGGCTTGCAACAACCAAGCGACCTGATGTGCCCGATAGATCACAGCTAGAAACATCAAGCTTTTTTAAGTTTGGGAAATTTGATAGAAAAATTGGTAAGTGATGAAAAGTGTTTCCTCTTAGAAGCAACGTCTCCAAATTTTGTAAGCCACTGAGATCTCTGGGAAATGAATTATCTGATAGTTTGCAGAACGACAGATTCAATTCTCTTAAAGAAGTCAGACTCCATAGTGGAGACAAATCGTAGATACCTGGACTTTCAAGCAAAGATCTCTCATTGTTCCAAAAGAAATTTGTAAGATTCTTAAGATGGTGGATGGACACCGGAAGGTTCTTGATGGCAGTACAGCCTATATTGAGCTCTTTCAAACTTTCCATGTTTCCAAAATCCTCTGGCAACTCCTCTAGTTTTGAGCAGTGATACAAGTCAAGATTCTCAAGGAGCCTTAACTCGCAAATCTCTGAGGGAAGATGAACAAGGTTCTGGCAGTTTTCCAAGTCCAAGTAAATGAGTTTGCCAAGATTGCCAATGGACTGATGCACCTCAATCAAATTAATGCAGCCTCTGAAGATTAATTTCTCAATGTTTAAAAGACCTGAGATGTCAGAGGTTCTGATTAAGTCATGCGAATGACTGAGATCAAGGACTTTTAGATTTTTAAGAACCTGCAAGAAGGATGAGAGTCATTTAATGTTTATAAAAATATTGTACCTCTAGTTAAGAATAATCCTACTTGAAACAAGAAACATATATATACAGCCATACCTTTGATTGCTCCCAAATATATTGGAGTTTGCTGTAGCACAACCTCAGTACAACCAATTTTTTGAGTTTTAAACTAGATGGTATAGATAACCAAGGACATCTATCCCAAGACAACCACCTTAATTCTTTAGAAAATTGTTCCCAGCCTCCAACAATGTCAGCATTTCTAAGTTGGAGAACTCTTACTTTCTTCATACCTGCAAGTGCTCCAGTACTAAATGACTTCTCCCTTAATCTAGGGAAGAACCCCTTAAGGCCTATGACTTTGTCTGTACCCTGATAACAATAAGCATTAACAATGTTATATAACAAGCAATAACAATGTTACATAACAAGCAATGTACTCCTTAATCAATTTATTGGAGACTGGACACTAAGCAAAGGCAATTGATGCTTACCTCATGGTATTTCAGAACCTTACAAACATCCTTATAAAAGGACAGTCTACTGCGCTCCCCAGGTTCACCAGGATTTTCTCTATGAACAATTTCTCTTGCCATCTCTTGAAGCAGATCATGCATTCTCAGCTTCTTTTCTCTTATTGTTAAGAGGCATTTTTGGATAAGACGACGTAGATGGATTTTTGTATGGAAACCACAACCGTCTAGTATGTGAATTGCATTGTCTTCATCCACCCCTATAAAGAAGAATGCAATGTCGAGAAAAATGGCCTTCTGATGGTCATCCAATGAATCAAAACATATTTTAAGTCTTTCAAAAACCTCCCCATAGGGGATACTTTTGAGTTCCTCCAATGCACTAGTCCACTCAAGAAGAGTTTTATCGGATAGGAAAGAACCCAGAACTTTAAGAGATAATGGATGTCCTCCAGCGTATCTCACTATCTCATAAGAAATGTTGGCATAATCATCCAGTGGAGAAAGTTCTCTAAAGGCATGCCAAGAAAAGAGTTTCTCAGCATAATAAAAGTGTAAACTTGGGACCTCATACTTGGCATCCACTCTATAACCACGAGCATTTATCAAATGTTCATCTCTACATGTTACTATGATTCTACTGCCAATGCCAAACCAACTTCTCTCTTTAGCAAGAGCTGCTAGTTGGTCCAAATGGTCAACATTATCTAGGATGATCAGAGCCTTTTTGTGCTTCAATCGGCCTCTAATCTTTTCAATTCCATCATCAACATCTCGTAGGTGCAAGTCTCGGACTCCTAAGATATCATATAGAAGTCTCTTTTGCAACTCAACCAGTCCACCATGTCCTGATCCTAGCTGGACATCTTCAAGCATTAGCAAACTGTTACCATCAAATTCCTTAGAGATTCTATTCCTAATTTCCTTGGCAACTGTTGTTTTTCCTATTCCAGGCATTCCATAAATTCCTATGATCCGTACATCTTTGGAGCCAAGTCTCAAGAGTGATATTATTTCCTCTACTGGAGAGTCAATTCCAAAAAGGCCGTCCACATCACTAAGGTATGTGTGATGCACTTTTTCCCAAACATCTACAGTAATCTTCTCGATCAACTCGGTCTCATCCCTGGTCGTTGTTAAAAGGATTAAAAATTGATGTTGGGAAAACACAGCATAGATATCCAACTAAGTCCACTTGCTAACAAGAAAGAAATTTATCCAATTTTTCATCCAAGCAAGGAAGAGATGATTGTATTACCCATTGACACTTTGAAGATCAAAGCCGGCAAGATTCGCAGCACTGGTAAGGGCAGTCTTCCACCTCTCTACTTTATCTACGGTAACCTTCTGGTGACGCGCAAAAGCTTCGCCAAAGCTCCCCCTCTGGTTGCGTACGTCTGATGGATCCACATGGAAGAAAACGGGTAGAACCATCTGCCCCAACTTGTCCCTGCAATCGATGATCTTGACTAGCTCGTCCAGGCACCATCCAGAACCAGCATAATTTGTGGAGAACACGACAACTGCAATCCTAGAGTGCTCGATCGCCTCAGCCAAGCTGGGTGCAATGTCGCTACCCCTTGTGAGACCGTTGTCATCTTTATAAGTCCTGAATCCTCCCTTTTTTAAAGCAGAATCGAGATGACCCAGAAAATTTTTGCGGACGTCTTCACCTCTGAAACTCAAGAATACATCGTAATTCCAACTTGGGTCTGATGGAAAAGAAGCAGCCATCATCAATTGAGTATGGAACAAAGTGCTTCTTTTTTTTTTTTTCATGTGTAACACAGCGTGCCAATTCCCCTTATAAAAGTCATTTGCCTCTCAACTCGGACGAGTCGACAACCAACTCGGCGAGTTCGAGCATTTCACGAGCAAAGCCTATATAAAGCGATGGAATTCCGCGAACGGTACTTGTTTTTTTATAATAAGTTAAAATATATTAATATGAAGTATAAGAGTACTCTTACCAGATATCAATCCTATATGAAGGTTGTTTTTTCACGCTAAGTACTTACAAAAATTAAGCAATAAAATCCAAAAAAAAAAAAAATAACCGAGCCATCTAATGTAAAAATGCAAATACACTCCCCTCCATCTTTCAACCGAGCCAAACGAAAATTCTCCTTTGAATCATTCAAAGGCTGTCATCTCATCCAAAAGGTTAAATTATGCAGAATTGAATTTCTCATTAACTAAATTAACCAAGTAATTACAAAGAAAATAGAAGACCAAACCTACTCTAATGTAGTTTTGAATTCCAACACAATATCTCGTTGATAGACATTTATTGGAGATGTGAAATTAACACCCCCACCAACTACAACACCTTCTCCACAAATTTTGTTTCTTATTGCATTTAACAAATATATTATTTTTGGTTAAAACTTCATTTTGGTCCTTAAATTATTGTATGGACTCTCAATTTGGTCCTTAAACTAAAAAAATTTCTGATTTAATTCCTATTGTTTACCATTTTAACCCCAATTTGGTCCTTCTGTTAAAATTCTCGTTATGTATCCTGTTAATTTACTGTTACATGATGAAATATCAATTTTTAAAATACATGGAAATACAACATGACAATAAAATAATGGCGTGGAAAAAAAATAACCTGATAAAAAAATAAAAATTCTTTCTTATTTTTTTCTTCTTCTCTTTCATTTTCTCTCTACCCTCGGAATCGATCGATCAAACTCAGTACTTGGGTTCCGTCGAACCCAGGCGCTGGGTTCTTAGGAACCCAAGCACTGGGTTCTTTCGAACCTAGCGCCTGGGTTCAATGGAACCCAACGACTGGGTTCCATCGAACCAGTGGCAAAAAATTAGAAATTTTTTTTTTTATTTGTGGGTTTTGTTTGATGATGATGAAGAAACTAGAAAGATAAGAGATTGGTTGAGATGACTGATCCTTGGGTTCATTGGAACCCAGGCGTGGATTCTTTCGAGTCCAGTGGCAAAAAATTAGAAAATTTTCATTTTTTTGTTTGTGGGTTTTGTTTGATGATGATAAAGAAACTAGCCAGGTAAAAGATTAGTTGAGATGACTGATAAAAAAAAAAGAAAAAGAGACTAATCGAGATGAATAGATCGAACCCAGCACTTGGCTACCCAGTTGAGGGCTAGAAAGAATCCAGGTGCTGGGTTCAAAAAAATTAGAAAAATTTTCTTTTTTTT